TACAAACCCTAGGTCTATCATGGCATATTTAGAAAGTTTTAAAATGCGGAATTAAAAGTCCTAAATTATTACAAAGTAATCATGGGGATGGGGGTACAAATGTTCAAATGGGGATGAGACTTTAATAGGAGAGTAGTATCCCAATATTTACAACCAAATCGAATCAAACGCAAATGTAAACGTAAAGTAATGTACAAGAATAAGTAAATGTGTACGTGTAAATGTATTTGTGTAAGTGTATGTGATTTATTTACAAGTGAAATAAAAAATAAAAAAAGGTTAATTTTTGGATATTTTCATGTTTAGGGCAAAAACCCTAATTTTGCAAATAAATAGTATTAATTATTTATTATATACAATATTTATTAATTATGTACAAAAAATAAATAAAAAGGAAGTATATTGGAAAAAAAAAGTATTTTTGAGGTTAAATATTAATAAAAGAAAAAAATGTATTATTTTTATGTTTTTATCCTAAATATTCTAATAAATATATAAGTATTTATATTATTTACTAAATATATTAAATATGTACAAAAATAAAATATTTAATATTTACAAAAAAGTATATTTTTTTAGAAAATGTTTTCAAAAGATAAAATAAAATAAAATCAGAACATAAAATGTATTTGTATTCTTTTTTAGTATTTTAAATAAAAAGATCTATATGTTATTTATATGTACATATATCAAATAAAACAAATAAATGCCTAATAAATACAAAAAAAAAGGTGAAAAAATATTTTTTATATTTTAACAAAAAATAACAAATCAGAATCAAAAAGAAAAAGTCAAAAATGACAAATATATCATGCAATGGGCCAGGGGGTGTATGTGTGAAATGAAGGTGCAAACAGAAAAAAGGTCAGGCCCAGCCCAAGGAGGCTTCTTCAACCTTCAGCCATTGTTTGAACACAGAAAAACGCGCACCCTTGCTCAACCTGTTAACTTCTGATTCCTTGATCTTTTGACAAATCTTAAAACATGAAACTTGTAGAGCTTGAAGCCACGATTTCAAATATATAAAAAAGTTAATCTAACTCTCAGAAATGAGAGAGAATTTCTTCTCCCCCAATTCCTGACCTAGCTTTTTTCAGATATTCAGTTTCAAAATTCTCTCAGTGTACACAATATAAATGAAAAGTAACTATATGGATGGCTTCAGGGCTATGACTAGAACATGCTTTCTTCACAAACTTAAGCCTAACTATGCCTGGATAGAGAGATAGAAGTTCAAAGTTTTACCTGTTCAGCTTGAGTTGTGTACAGCAATGGAGGTGCTTTCAATGCAATGTGAGTACTTGTACAACTTGCTTGAAGTTCAGGGATGCTTCTCCAACCTCTAGCTTGCTCTGAAACTAGCTGAATCGAGCTATGGAAGTTCACCTGCAAAGTTGAAAACTGAAAATGGCAAATGATGTTAGGGATGTTACAGTTTGTGTTCAATGCTTGGGATAGCTTCAGTGGGTGATATGGAACATGTTTGAACTAGCTTTGGCCAAAACGCACGAGTGGAAGTGTTTATGGAAGTCAAGTTGCAGAAGGGACTCTGTTTTTGCAGCAAGAAGGTGTTTCTGGGAATGAGAGGGTATTGAAGATGGTTTGCTCGTGTTTCAGGTCAGGTTTGATGTTTGGAATGTGTTCAAGAAGTTTGTTTTGGTTAGTTCTTGCAGCAATGAGAGATGTGTTTCAATGTGCCAAGTTTCTTCTTCCTTAAGCAAAGTTTGCCAAGTTGGGTTATAGGCTCATACAGGCCCCTCAAGCATGCTGCAAATGTTAGTCTTGATCAGTGGGATATGTCCATACCTTTGTGCCTCAGAGATTTGCTTTGTACCTCTTAGATTGTAAACTTGACATAAAGTGTAACTTTACAAGAATAGATAAAATGCTTTTTCCATTTTAAGACTAATCCTTCATGTAATGACCAAATGCACAAAATAACATCTTGGCACAATGGTTTAGCATTGAATTATTGAGTAAGAAAGGTATTAGAGACCTGTAACCTAGCTTGAACCATGCTGAGTTTGAAAATGCAAAGTTATGAACATGTAATTTGGCCATGAACAAAGTGACTTTTGCCCAACTTTGCCAATTCGATTCTCCCTAACCACAAGGGTGTTTGAGAAGTTCTTGGATAATTTGGAAAGCTTGGAATGTGTACTACAATCCATATTTGTAATGCAAATTGAAATTCCAAGTGGAAGCATGTGAAAAGTGGCCATGAAGTTGGGCAAAAATCCTGCCTAAAATAGGTCAAAAAGTTTCTAAGTTAAGAATGTTTTGCACCCTTATTCCAAAAATCATAACTTGAGCTACAAACTTCTTTTGAGGAAACTTTGTGAATCAAAGTTGTAGATTTTGCAATGTACTACAACTTTCATGTTTTGAGTTTTGCTTGAATCCAAATACATCTTGATGAAAAAATGGGACAAAGTTAGGAAAAAATTAGGAATTTTCATAACTTAGAAAATTTCTAAGTTATGAAATTTCTTCATTTCAAACCCTAATTTGTAATTTTTGGTTTCTTGATGAACAAGTTTCATAATTTGACATGTCTTGATGAAAAATGAATCTTGGCACTTGATTTTGACCAAAAAGTCAAAGTTTGACTTTTCAGTATACAGTCAAATTTGGCTCAGTTGACTGGAAAATTCATCTGTCAATCTTGTGCATTTGGGATCTTTTGAACTTGTTGAACGTGTCAAGACCATGTCATTGAGTCCTTGAGTCCATATGTGAGCTTGGTTTGCCATTGGCTAGGTCAAACAGTCAAAAATTGCCTTTGTGCAGTCAAAACCCTAAAAATGACCATTTTACCCTTTTGGTGATCTGATCAAATTTCTTGTGGAATTGTGATCCAAACTTGACCAAATGGTTCATATGAGTTCATAATGTTGATGTGGGTCAAAAATCATGAGGTTTGACTGTCAATTGACCACAGTTGACTTTTTTCCCCAATACAGCTGATTTCTAGGTCAACTGTCCAATTGACTGGGCAAAGATTGGAATCAAGGCTTGAAACTTGGTATGGATAAACTTGTGAGTCCAACATGAAGCATGAAAGTCACTTTGGGCCTTTAGGTCAAAACATCTTTGTGCAAACTCAAACCCTAATTTGGGTCAACAGTGCAAGGAGGGGTCCTGAGCAGAGTAAACCCTAACTTGATCTTGAGCTTCAAGGGTCTTGTGATGAGAAAATGTTGAGGAAATGGGAGGGCAAATTTTGGGGTACAACACTAGGGTTGGCAAAAGGCACGACCCCTTCTGCCTGTGTGGCCCAAGAGGCGACAAGACCACGCTTGCCCGCGACCACGTCCTCGTCCGTAACAACGACTAGTTCCAGGAACCTCTACCCGCGATAACGCCTAGTTTCAGACACTTCTCCCTGGGATCACGAGCACGAGCTGCTCGTTCTTGCTTTCATGCAGAAATCTTGGCAGTTACCTATTTTGGGGTCTAATATTCAGGTTAAAAAATATGAACCAATGGTCAAGCGTCGGAGACTCTATATAAATACTCACACTTATGAGGGTCAAGTATCCAATATTCAATTCTAAAACTCTATCTTCTCTCTTGTATCTCTTTGTACTCTTACTTACTTGAGCATCAGAGTGTCTTGCAGGTACACCCTCTCCTCCTTGATTCCAACATTGCAGACACAAATATCGACTCATTACATGTTCTGATCACCGATAAGATCAACATTCAAATAATTTTATAATTTATTAATGGATACATATATTCGTGAACACATATTATTAAACTCATATTTGTATCTATTTAAAACAGATATTTAAATATCAATTTATTTTATCTGTAGATATTTATTAAACTATTTATCACGTATCTGTGATAGATTTTTTCCGCAAATATACACGCATGTATCAATTTTTTTGTCATCTCAAAGTGGTATTTCTCCAAGTTTTGAAACAAAATGTTGTTTTTCCTTGAATGCTACTATACAGGTCAAGCATAGCTTTTTTGCTTGAACATGTTTTTCAATACAAAAAAATTGTGACACTCAATCTTCGAATCCCATAAAAGTGGATCCCACCAAAAGGAAGAGAAAAGTATTGTGAAAGATACAAATCAACTTTCTTTGTTGAGAAAAACAAAGATGAAAAGAAAGGAAATGACAAAAGATGAACTTTATAACGCTTTCATTTTTATATTGTCCAACACACACACACACATATATATATATATATATATATATATATATATATATATATATATATATATATATATATATGAAATACAAGGTTTTGGCTTATAACCAACGCCCGCCATTCATTGCCTGGTCAAAGCACTAACGTTGTCATCTTTGAACTGATTTTTTTCTGCCAAAAATAACTCTAGCTATAGACATCATTGTCATTGATCAATGAAATTCCACATCCAACTAAAAAGAAAGATAATTTACTATTTGAAGTCAGAACTGACTCTCTAATTGGACTAAATCGATGGTAAAAAGAAAACTCAATTGAAAGACCAAATTTTCTATAAACATCAAATAAACTTTACATAAACAAAATTTACCAGCTGTGGAAGAGTTCAAAATTAAATTGAAGCTTAATGATTTAAATCAAGTCTAGAAGGACTGTTCATGATCTTACAAAAAACTAATATCCACATGAAAAGTGCATAACTTCAATTGGGCAAATGTTAAATAACGAACAATAATAACAGTGTTGTAATATAAACTAAAAAATTACAGTATGTGTGATAGAATAAAATTTAATATTACATTTTCCGCTAGATTAATGGTACAAGTTAGTTGAATACTATAACAACTACCTCCAAGTCTCTGTCTAAGAGTTAAGTTACAAGAATCAAATATTGGTTGAAGTTTTCTTCGGCTAATCTTTGTTTATCCAGTCGAAGCCCGGATCAAATACAAGGGTTGTGTATGGAACTTTAACTGAATACTTAAATGGATCCATGAAAATAAAGATAATGGGACAGTAATGTATCATAAGTTACACTACAAAAAAAATCAATCAACAAGAGAAATAGAAGTTCCCATTTCGTGCGATATCCCTCTCTTCAGGCCTTTCAGAAATGATTTCATAGCTAGATGTTCAGAGGCGTATGTCATGAACGATGTTAATACTATACCCCCAACAATCATCAAACCTAACCTGTTTAAAATAAATATGAAATCTTTAACAGACAAACCATAATGGCAACTGTGCATCTTTCAATATGATGTTTAAACCAATAACTTCTAATGAAAATTACCGTAGAAACAAAGTGGTAATTCCAAAAAGACAAGGCAAAGATGGAGCTACAATGGCAAAGAAGGCCATCCCTAATCCATAGAACCATGTAGTGGCATCACAAGATGATATATGACGCTGATGGCCTGTTAAAAAGACTACATAAAATTAATGAACTAAATAAAGAATATGGGTTTTGAGGACATAGGTGAGTGAAAATCACATGGCCCAAAATAATCTCTTTTTCTAGAGAACATACCTTTTCCTGAATCGTTGTCAGAAGACTCGGGCTGAGAGAATGAGGATGGAGCTCGTGACGCCGTGATCTTTCCCCAATGATAAATCAAGCTGAGATAACCTCCAAATAATGTATAGAAGATTGTGAACACCCATTCATACATCAAAAGCAAACCGGTCCATGGAGTCACTTGCCGAGGAACTATCACGAGAGTTAGTCCAAGAGACACCACCGCAGCCATAAGACAGACACAAACAGAAACACCGCCCAAATATGTGGGCATCTTGTATTGAGAACCGTTTAAGAGCTGTTTAGTATCATAAAGAATAATTTTAGCTTCTTAAAAATATATAAGCATGAGCAGTATGCATATCCAACCACACGAGTTGCATCCCCTTGTGCGAGGCCATCACGTGACCCAGTCATCTAGTGAAAAATGATACATTATCGAGCTTTGTTTTTTTGTTGTCCATCTTCTTTGTCGAATGAATTGGCTGTGCATGTGCAAGCCCCGCATAAGAGAATTCAAATCCCAAAACTAGATGATTAAGATATCAAAAACTGACCTGATGGGTGGAACCAACTGTAGAAGTAGAAACGGCAGTATAAGAAAGTGAGCCACCTGATTTAATCCTATAATAAAGGTGTCGGACATGATCACACATTGAGCTTCTACAATAGGAACCAAAGTACCCTTGATTCTACAAAAACACAATATCATGAGAATCATGAGAATCCTTAACACTTTTAGAATAATATTAGTCCACGATAGCTGACCTTTTGAAATGAACGATAACAGCAGAAGAGTACAGTACAAAGTGGTAGCAGAAAAAGAAACTTCACAAGAAAACCATCTTTAGGGTTTTGCCCCCCACTGGTTCCAGGAAGGGATTCCGGCAACTGTTCCCTTACATTCTAAAGCACCAAACGTAAGAAAAATAAGTCAAGACATAATATGTTTGTCACAAATGTCAACTAGACGACACGGCTATTAATCAGTAGACTATTTAAAAATTAGAAAAACGTCATTTTTTTCTGACATTTTAAAAAAATAGAGTAATAAGTTGCACAAATACCTGCCAAACATCAACAGGTTTCAAAAGCCAAGATGTCCACCAGTCCCAAGGCTTAAGAGGGCCTAGAGTATAATGAATCACACGGAGTTCTTTCTCATCTACCATCCACTGGATTAGTCAGCATACATATTAGATACTTGAACTGGAACATTAAGAAAATTATATGCGTATGTTTGGAATGTATAGAGTGTAAGTGTAGGAATTAAGAAATATTCTTGCAGCTAACTTCAACTATGCCAAAAAAAAGAGAAAGATTCAGAGTTGCTCAACTCTTATCGAAAATATCAATTGTTTATCCATCTCTCACCACTCTAAAAGTCAAAAAGAACATTTTGAACCAATTGGCAAAGGTTTCCGGCACATGTATAATAAAATTAGACTTTCTAGAATGAAGTAAAGTATTATGGTAATGCTGAGACGATTTTAAACTACCTTCCAGCATGACACTTTTCCCCATCCATATAGCAAGATAAAAAAGTGCTGGTTCTAACTGGTATAGTTGCCAAGTAAGCTAACCAAAACAAAAGGAAACCATCTCAACACAAATGAAATTTTTTGTCATTTTGGAGGTGGCAGTTTTACCCTCCTAGTCATTGCATTCATTTACATCCAATTATTGAAAAAGATTTAGTTTTTCTTCCTTTAAACAAAAAAAAAGTCAGACAGCATAAGGCAACTTGATTTAGCATGCATTCATCTGAGCTTAAAAAATAAGATCAGGCATGATTGAGTTCAAAAGAGAAGAAACAGAAGGCGGGTGTATCACTCAAGGATTGCCCCTAGTTACTTAAAAGGAAAGAACCATTCTCTTATAAGTTATTACCTATATTCCAGTACCTTGTTAGCCAGCATGTAGAGACCAACATCCGCATTATATAAGGTGGAAAGTCGCTCCATTTCAGGGACTGGTCTAGTATTCAAAATTTCCTGGCTCAAATTTGGCTCAAAAACACGCGCATTAGGAAATCCCGAGAAATATGAATTAAGAAATCCCTGATCCCCTGTGAAAGAAACAAGAGCCAATTGTTGTCAAACTAATCAGGCTCAAATAAAGTAATCCATAATATTTATAAATAAAACCAACAGCACCCAATATTCGTATCCAAAAATCACCATACCTCCCGTATAAGATGGCAGAGTTTTGACTTTGCTCACCATATCATTAAAAAGCTCCGTAGATGGTTCCACAACCATGACTCCTGAATTCAACCTCTCAGAATGCTTCAAATTAGCACAAAATCTTCCACACTTGAAAAGCTCTTCAATATTTCTAACAACAATAGTATCGGCATCAAGGTATACAACTGCACACATACATATACATATACATATACATAGTCAAGATAATCACTCTCTAAACCTAAAAAATTACAATCCCATTCGAAAAACAACAACTTAAATATAAACTTTCAGCGTAACTGTCTCCTCAATAACTTGTACAACAAGATACCAAAAAAAATTACAAATTTACAATCCCATTTAAAAAAAAAGTACCTTTCTTGTAGTCAGTCATGTTAAATATTTTGAGCTTGGTATAAACACCCCAAAACCTCTTTGGGTGAACTTGATTAGGATTTTCCAGTAAACTAATTTTCTCAACTATCCACCCATCAGCCTACAACAACAACAAATAAATAAATAAATTCCTAAACCCTAATTAGGTTAACAATGCTGAAGAGAAAATGAAAAATGAACCTTGAGGAGGTTATTGGCGTAATCAGAAACACCATCTGAAACCAAAGCAACCATATCTTTACTGGACCGAGTGTCACGTATCGATTTGCCAAGAACTCTAACGCCTAACAAGAATTCATCTCCGTATAACAGACTCGCGTATGCGACGTCGGTTTTCTTTGACTCGGATCGCAATGAGTTAACTGAGAGGGACAGAATTATCAGCCATAACCGTGCTTTCATTGTAAGTTGAGTTGAATGCTTCTTCGGATGTGAAATTTTGGATGATTTTGAAAGTTCGCGATCGTCTTCGTCGTGAACTGAACGTGGAAACTCTCAGTCTTGATTTGTGATCGTGTGTAGCGTGGCATACAGGAAAAACAGATGCATCTTTCACTGTGATTTCAAGCTTCAGTTACATTACATCGTCTCTGCCTAATTCTTGTAAAAAAAACTATATATGATAAATACTTATATACAGATAAATTAGTAATAATGATATGAATAATATACGTAAATATTATTCATAATTCTTTTATTAATGATTATATAAATTAATTATACGTGAAAAAAATTAAATATATAAATATAAACTTTTAGATATAAATTATTATTAATTTAAATAAAATAAATTATTCCGATTGTAATCCGTAATTAAAAGTTAATTATTTGTATACATTTAAAATATAAATATCAATAATAATTTTAATAAAGGTAAGTTATCCAAAAATGTAAAAGCACCTAATATAAGAGACATGGTTATTTTAAAATATATATATTAAATTGCCAATAAAAAAGAAAATAATTAAAATTAATTTTGACAAAAAATATATATTTTATTAATTATATACAAATTTAATGTATATTAACTTTGAATTTAATAATTTAGTACGATACACTAAATTAATAAATTTAATAACAATTTTAATGTCAAAAAATATAATGTAATCACTCTAATAATTGTTCTATTATAATCATTCTACTATAGGTGTTAAAAAAAAATTCTCCATTAAAGTGTATTAAACTGAATTAGATGACACTATTTTGATTCTCCATTAAATTATTTACTTTATGAATAATCCTACCTTTTATATATATATATATATATATATATATATATATATATATATATATATATATATATATATATATATATATATATATATATATATATATATTGTTCTGGATTGGGTCCGACAGGCCCAAAAGTATTGCTAAGGCCCAATCCAAATGAACTTGCTGAGAACCATGCCGACCAAAGGGTCACAGTCGTGCCCGACGTGCTCCCTGAGGTCACGTGCTCGACCTCTACACCTCCAGCTCGACATCCTGCTGTCTAGCTCGACATCACCTCGAGCACCCCGACTAGGGCAGACTCAGTCCACTGCACTCCCAACGAGGCCCCGAAAAGACCGCGTCTCCGTCCGCCCGCACTTCACGCAGAACATCCAGGAAGGGGACCACGTGCGGGTCCCCACTACGCGCGTAGAACCTGGCAGTTCCTCCATTGGGCCAATCCTGCCCGGCCCAATGAAGGAACCTTGGCCCAGCGCTAGGGGCTATAAATACCCTCTGTTTCCAGAGGATCAGGTATTCATCATTCTACCCATACACTTATTATTTCCTGCTCGTGCTTCTACTTACTTCAGCATCAGAGTGCCTTGCAGGTACCCCCCCCACCTCGTTCAAGAAGCTTTCAGCTCGGAGCCAGCCGTGACGGTCCATTTCTGATCAGGTCAGATCAGTGGCGCCGTCTGTGGGAAACTAGCTTCCCCGTCTTACAAACAACTCAAAATACCAAAGCTCAAAATTCAACTACCTGTCATGGCTGATCCAGCTCGCGATGAGCAGAACGTCCGTGTCACCGACACCAATAACGGCACGGCGGACAAAAACGGGCATCTTGACAACGTCGTCAATCCCGGCCACAACACCGCTCCTGCAACCACCGTCCTCGGAACTTCCTCGCACAGGGACGGAGCCACATCATCATCCTCCCCGCTCCCACCACCACTCGAGGACGACCCGGCGGCCCTCGCCCACTACAGAGCCGTCCGGTTTCAGGAAGTCCCCATCCCCCCCGGGGCGGATGCCACCACACAAGCGTTGTTCGCAGCAATTAACCAAACGAACTATCTCATCTTCGCCCAAGGAGAGAGATTAAAGGCGCTTGAAGATGACCGAAGACCCCCGAGGAGGCATCGGAGGCCACATTCTCCACCTCCCCGGGTCACAGAAGTTCGACACCCTTCTCCCCCGCGGAGACACTACAGGGAGAACTCCAGAAGCCCCTCTCCCCGGCCAAAGCAGAGGCGCCCCTATTTGGAGAGACAGCCCGTCATCCCTGCCGGAGAACCCAGTCGCGACCCGGCAAGGCACGACAAGAGACACGCCGGGGACGGGCGTGTAACATTCAACCACCGAGCATCATGCTCGAGGGAGACTCAGCACGACCACCGTGCCAGACAATACTACAGGTCTCCATCTCTGTCTCCGGAGAGGAGCGACGAGGACGACCCCCGCGGTCCCCTGTCGCAGGCCATCATGGATGCACCCATCCCCCCGGGCATGGAGAAACCCCCACATCTGAAGGAGTATGACGGAGTTGCGGACCCGGTCGACCACATTGACGGGTTCGAGGCCATGCTCCACTATCATAATGTCAGGGGGCCCATCAAGTGCCGTCTTTTCCCCACGACTCTCAGGAAGGCGGCCATGGACTGGTATAAAGGAGTCGCCCCGGGCTCAATCACGTCGTGGCGGAACCTGAAGAACCAGTTCATCAGTTCCTTCACAGCTTCTCGGCGCCATCCGAAGACCGAGGCGGCCCTCGAGGCCATCATCCAAAGACAGGATGAAACCTTGAGGGAGTTCATCAACCGCTTCAACCGAGAAGCAATACAGGTCCCCTGCGCGGACCATATGAAAAGATACTTACTAGAGAGAGGTCACCTCCCCGGCACAGAATTCAGAAAGGCTGTGGGTATCGAGCCACCTCCGACATTTGATGCCCTCCTCGATAAGGCCCGAGCATATATGGACTACGAGGAGAGGGAAGCTGCCAACAGGACCCGAGACTCCAGGGCTCGGGGTCCCAACAACAGCAGCAGCTCACGCCAAGAGGCTCCTCCCCGACGTACCGGGGAGAAAAGGAAAGAAGATCGACCCCGGGAAGTCCGGGAACAAAGGGGCCCCTCGGGCCGTTTCACCGAGTACACTCCGCTCACAGCTTCCCGCGAGCGTATTTTGGCAGAGTGTGCTAGTACAGACTTCAAGGACGGCGGCGTCAAGCGTCCCCGACCTGCTCCCGCCAAGCCAGGGGCGGATAAAAATAAATACTGTCAATACCACAGGAGTCATGGTCATCTGACAGAGGACTGCGTCCACCTCAAGGACGCCATTGAAACCCTCATCAAGGGAGGGAGGCTCGCGCAATACAGGCGAAACGACGCTCCTCATCGTGACGCCCATGAAGCCAAGGAGCCAGAAGAAGACGCCCGACCATCAGACGAGTCGGTGCCTATCCAGACCGCCTTCTCGGTAACCAGGCCCGAGGATTTCGACATTCCCGAGCACCTGTAGGAGCCGCTGACAATGCACAGCAGGTGGGAATACTTTCCCTCCGCCATGGTCATCAACGGGGGCGAGTTCAACGACCTCACCATCAATTCAGCTAAGAGGAAGTTGGACGAGCTGGTCGACGCGGCTCCCCCGCAAACAGTAACGTTCGAAAGGGTGAAGGGCAGGTCAGAGCCCATCACCTTCTACCTAGAAGAGCTCCCCGGTGGAGCCCCGAACGCAGTCATCCCCTTACTGATAAGGGAAAGAATGGCTAATTTCGACGTGCATCGCATCCTGGTCGACGAGGGGAGTTCCGTCGACGTAATGTACAGCCAGCTGTTTCGAACCTTACAGCTGGACGACTCACATCTCTCTCTGTATGTGGGGTCGGATCTACAAGGCTTCAACGGCTCGACTTCCAAACCTTGGGGTTATGTCGAGCTCCTGGTTACGTTCGGCGAAGGAACGGCTACGAGACAAGTTAAAGTCCGGTTCCTCGTCATTGACTGCCCGTCTCGATACAATTGCATCTTGGGGAGACCGACACTGGCAGAGCTAACAGCGGTGCCCTCGACCGTCCATCTGAAGATGAAGTTCTACACCAGAAGGGCACGGGTAGCCACCATCCAAGGAGACCTAGCCGCTGCCCGTAGGTGCTTCAACGCAGCTTCTAAGGGACGGGATACCGTCGACATAGGGACCAGACCCGCTAAAAGGACAAAACAGGAGCCCGACAGGAACGCATCCCCCGAGGAAGAAGTCCAGAAAGCTCCACCAAAGGTCGACTCCATAGCGCTGGACACCCGCTTCGATCAGGACGAGCCATCCAGCAGCGAGCAAATCCCACTCCGACCAATACCGGACGGGGATTTTGAACTCGTTCCCCTCGGCACAGACCCGACCAAGGGAGTGAAGATTGGCAAAGACCTCCCCGACTTGGCCAGGAAGCAAATCAAGGCCTGTCTGCGCGAGAATGCTGATCTCTTCGCCTGGAGCGCTGCGGAGATGCCCGGACTCGACCCTGAGGTCGCCTGTCACCATCTCGCCATTGATCCAGCCGCCAAGGCCGTAGTACAACGTAGGCGTAGGCAGTCTCCAGAAAAAACGGAGGCTGCTGAAAAAGCTGTAAAAGACCTCCTAGAGGCAAATTTTATTTCTGAAGCCCGGTATTCCACCTGGCTGTCAAATGTTGTACTCGTGAAAAAGAATAATGGAAAATGGAGAATGTGCGTTGATTATACCGATCTCAACCGGGCTTGCCCGAAAGATGCTTTTCCCTTGCCTAACATAGATATGCTGGTCGACGACTCGGCCGGCTACAAAACTTTGTCGTTCATGGACGCCTATTCGGGATATAACCAAATCCCAATGGCCCTAGGCGACAAACACTGCACGGCATTCATGACCAGCTCGGGCAACTATTACTACAACGTAATGCCCTTCGGACTGAAAAATGCCGGAGCAACTTACCAACGCATGATGAACAGAGTTTTCAACGAACAGATCGGCGACATGCTCGAGGTATATATGGATGACATGATCGTCAAATCCCGAGCAGACACCGATCACGCAGCTCATCTCAAGACAGTCTTTGCCCAAGCAAGACAGTGCAAAATGAGGTTCAACCCCGAGAAATGTACGTTCGGGGTTAAGGCAGGAAAATTCCTTGGATTCTATCTAAC